CCTGAGGCCCCTAAAATGCTCTCTTTTCAGCACCACTTGGAGAAATGATCATTTTCCTGAAAAACGATCAAATTCAAGAGTTGTTGGGGCAGCTGGTACTTCTTGGGGACTTTCCCTGAAATTCTAACTGGAATCAGTTGGCTAGCTAGTTACAAACTCAGAAGCCCAGTGGCGCACTTGGCAACTCAAGGCTTTCAGCCTCAGTCGCGATCAAAACCTGGTCTCATAGGGGTGTAATTTCCCGCGGCAGGATATGAAAGTGCAATGTTGTTGTCAGGCATCAGCCCATCCGTTGCAGCGCAGTGGGACGGAATGGTCAAAGCGGGAAGGTTTCTCGCTGATGTCCCGTGCTTGGGACGTGCGTACTGACTGCGGCTGTGCGGAATCGCGCCACGAAGGCTCTGGAATGTTGCAGCTGACCCAGCGCACTGGTTCAGGTTAACTTTGGTTTCCTCCGCAAAACCGTGCTAATCAGGCATAGCGCGCAAATGATCCAATACCTTTGACTCCAGATGAAGCATGCAGAGGACCGTTGGGTGGTTCCCCTTCTAGTATACAAGCAAATGATCTAATTATGGATGCCAAGCCGTTGAAAAACCTGCCCGCCAGTCCGGCCGTCTAATGGCATTGAGACTGAGTGAGGAGGTTTACGTGTCCCCAAAAAAATCAAGCAAGTTCGAGTCACAAAAACGGTTGAGTGGCAAACATCAGCACTAACATACATACCGATTCAAGCCAGTTTGAGTCACTAAAACGGTTAAGCGACAAACAACTGAAAGACTCATTCGAACAAGTTCGAGTCACCAAAACGGTTGAATGGCAAACAACTGAGCATTCAATCAATAATTGGAACAACCTGGAGCCTCCATCATAGCAAAAACTTATGCCTCCCCCTAGTTCCATACACAAATTGACACGTTGTGGCGTGTTTTCCTTCACAATTGCTTTCGAGAATTCTTTGGGGCTTCGAGCAGAAATCAAGTTCGTTAGTTTCATGTTCTTTCACAGGGGCGAAGTTGGGAAGAGTCATCAACGAAACGAGCGCAAAAAAGTGCAAAACATGCGCAAGTCGGCGCAAAGAAAGTGCAAAAAAGTGCAAACGAGCGAAAACCCAAGCATGATGCAGGGAATGGCTTCCTACGGGCGCATGATTGCAAACGACTCGAGCGCTTCTTGTTGAATCATACATTTATTTTAGATTAGGTTGTCACGAGCAGAAATGGTTCGAGCAAAAATTCATGTAGCAAACAACAGAGCGTTCCAGTACTAATTCGAACAAGCTTGAGTCATAAAAACGGTTGAATGGCAAACAACTGAGCATTAAAATCATCATTCGAACAAGCTTGAGTCATAAAAACGGTTGAATGGCAAACTACTCAGCATTCAAACAATGATTCGAACAAGTTTGAGTCACAAAACGGTTGAATGGCAAACAACTGCATTCAAATAATGATTGGAACAAGCTTGAGTCACAAAAAGCATTGAATGGCAAACAACTGAGCATTTGTCATAATGATTCGAACAAGTTTGAGTCACAAAAACGGTTGAATGGCAAACAACTGAGCATTCAAATAATGATTCGAACAAGTTTGAGTCATAAAAACGGTTGAATGGCAAACTACTCAGCATGCAAACAATGATTCGAACAAGTTTGAGTCACAAAACGGTTGAATGGCAAACAACTGAGCATTCGGGAATTGGCAAAAGAGAGTGTAGCAAGAAAGCGGATTGAATGTACAAGGCAAACAAGTAATTTGCGAGCTCGAAGGCTACTCTTGAGAAAATCACAGTCGCAGTGGCGTGCCGCGACGCTGCTTTTGGCTCACTCAAAATGGACTCTGGATTTAAACTTGCCAAATTCGCGCGGCGAGGCACTGCATTTTTCCAACTCATCGCTTCATCGAAGCGATGAACTTTCTCTGCGATTCATTCTGCGTACGCGGATTCGGGCTTGAAATAGCCCACAGCATGGCAACATGCCTTCACTGCGCCAACTTCCAAAAGAAAATGCGAACCTCGGAAAAGTAAGTTCCAGCCTCACTTTTTGGGGGGGAACACTTTTCTCTTGGGATGGGTTTCGCCGGAGTCAGCATGTCGACCCCAGATCAGCAAACCCAGCGTCCAAGCAGGCTGTTTTTTTTTCAAACGTGATACATAAACCACCCACTAACTGGAGGCACTCGCGAATCAAAATCAACGAGGGGGTTATTAGTCTGGGGTCAACATTCTGGGTGGTTTTTCTAGGATGCGGACCCCTCAGAAAGTGTGGGTTTCTTTTTTAAAGTTGTCCCTTTAAGACCAACCAAAAAGGGGTTCCAACTAAACATCGATACACCCTTATTGTTTAAACAACCTCCTTGTTTAGGATGGGGGTTGATGCGTTCCGATTCAGTCCCGCAAACGGGCGAGTCTCGCCTGCCCAGCTTGCTCAGCAGGGGCCACACCAATGGGCTGAGCCGCACCACACTGAGCACTGCCCGCAGCACCGGCGCGTAGAGCCCTATGCGTTTTTCTTCTTTCGGAAGATCGATGCGTCGAATCGAGCCGAATTCAACGGGCTGGGTTGTCGTCGAAAAGAATCGAGCGTGTTTGGTTTGTGAGTTGATTTTGAAGGGACACCTCGCCTAAAAAAGGGCATCACTGGGTGGGTGGTGTGGATGCACACCTCGTTCTTGAGGGTAAATGGGAAGCTACCCCGGAACATCTCCAAACGAAGCCAACCACCAAATCACAAGCTGCAACCATGCCCAGGCCCAGAGTGGCTGACAATTGTTTCTTTTAGGTTGCCACTTTCTGAGATACAAACTCAATGCCCCTTCAAGTAAACAAACAAACAAAAAAAACTCATACGGATTTCTCACTTTGCTACCACAGAAAGTGCGGGTCAAAGCTTAGAACAAATTGATGACCCTTGGGGTTTAAATGGTTTGCTCGAAACCATGCGATCAACGTACCCGCTCCCAGGCCCCAAATGGAGGACATCAGAATTCGGCGGGGATTCATGTCCAATACTTTTGAGGTAGCTCAAAATTCATTAGGGAAAACACCCCCCAGAAAGGAAAACCGGAGGTCTGGGATATGGGCTCGTGTGTGAACGGGTTGCAGATTCCCTTTGGTTCCCTTAACGCAACATCCCAAAAGGCGTATCCTCAAGAAACCCAACCCATGTGGCTATGATCCAAAGCGGTCAGTGGACATGAATCCCCACCGATGTTCATGTTGGCCCCCTTACTAAAAATCGAAAACCCAAATTGATTGCCAAGTGATCTGCGTGAGAAACAGTGGGAAGCGATTCGCACCATCCGATTCGTTTAACAAAGGTGAATGGGCCAGTTCTCAAGCACTGGCGAGGTGCGCCAGCCAGCGCAAAGCACTTCCGCAGATTCTGCCGCTTCCAGCAGGAGCCGCAAGTCAGCAGCAAACAGGGTACCCTCAAAAGACACAAACATTTCTGGCACCCCCAAATGCAGACATGTTCCCCTTTAAAACCTTGAAAACCAACAAGGAAGAAAAATGGTGGAGAGGACATACAACGCCGTCAACCTCCCGGAGACACCTGCCCGGCATGAGAGGGAAAAGCAATCACTTAGACTTTCCACCTGGTATCTAATTACAACCCTGTATGGCTAGGTCCTCCAGTAGAGAGGTTAGAATAAGGGTACCCTTTTGGCTCGTGACGCACGAATGTCGGTCGCGCGTGGGTCGTAGGGCATGCCGCCCTACTACCGGTGAAAAGTGGGACAGAAGCCCCGCACACAGACCCCCAGGAGAGACTCAACTGGGGGTGTGAAACAGCAGGCCAACCACCAGTGGAGAGGGGGTGGGACCCCCTGTCCACTGGTGGACACATCTCAAAGTCGAGGCCCGGCCCACCAGCCACCCCCGGAAGGGGTGCCTGGGGAGCGGGGCGTGCCCAAAGTTCCAGGAGCAGCCGACTGTAGGCCAGGGTCACGAGGCAACCCCAGCACGCGAAGCCCGGCAGGGCCGCCATCACGCAACTGCGCCGAGACGGGAGGCCCGGAGTAGGACCCGCTGAAGCCACTTGTGCTCCGCATCGGTGCGCTGGAGGTAGACGCCAGGCCAAGCACCACGCGGCCAGGTGACCCCAGCATAGCGGCCAAGCCGCGGCTCCCAACAACGGGGGAAGGCCTCCGGGTTGCGCCGGGCGATGCACTTCCTCACGGCCTTGAAGTGCACCAAAAGGCCACGGGCAGTGGCCGCACCGCCAGCATACCTGACAATGCCAGGGCTGCGCCGCCAGAAGAGCAGTGCAGCCTCCAAACCAGGCTGAAAATCCCCACCGCGAACCATCCACATAGCGGAGCTCAAGGCCTTGTTCCAGGCCCACCACTGCAGCGCCCCATAGGTCCAGTCCCGCGGCTTGGCGAGGAGCTTCTCAACATGCAGCTCAGGCGAGCCATGGCTAGGCTCAGTTTCTACACCTAACCCTAGGGCAACAGGGGCCTCAGGCGGGGGCACCACGGGATCAGGGGGCTCCGGGGGCGGAGGAGGAACAGGGGTGGCCGCCAAGGCAAGGAAGAGCTGCTGGAGCCAGCGATGGCGCCGGTAGGCAGAGAAAAACAAGGCAGACATGCGACAGACAGGGAGGGCAAGAGAAGCACGCGCAGCGCGCTTGGCAGCACGGTCAGCCGCATGATTACAACGCGCATGCAGGAGCTCAACCGAGCCAGGGCACTGGTTGAGGGGCAGGTGGCCCCGGATCCAGTGGAGGGTCAAAGTAAACCCAGAGGCGGCACGCAGACTAACCAGATCCCAGAGGGACAACCAGAGGTCAGCCGCCGCAGCATTGGGAGGAACACACCCCCTCAAGTGGAAACCATGCCAGGCGCTGACGGCAGCTTGGGAGTCGGTGTGGACAGTGAGCCGACCGCGAGCAAGCTGAGCGGCATGCAGGATAGGATAGCATAGACCTCAGCACGGTAGTTGTCCGCCAGGGGACCCGGAACAGGACCAGAAGCGCACACACCAGCAGAGGCACTAAGTGGGGCAAGTAGACACTGCCATCAGTCCAAAGGTGGACATCCCCACCACCGTACCTGGGTAACGGGGTGGTAGCAGGCCAGGGCACAGCCCGCAGCGCGGCATGGGCAAGGTCTGCAGGGATCTCAGCCAGGGTATGAGTGTAGAAGGAAGGGCCCTGGTCCTCACGCTGGGCAGGGGGCGACCCAATGCGAGCGTGGAGAGCACCGCACTGCACAAGGTGTGCCAGCGTCTCATCAGCACCATCACAGAAGCGACAGCCAGGAGATGCAGCCAGGTTGGAGGCATAAAGCCGGTCAGCCGTGGCTGCAGAACCGACAACCACAGCAGGGGCGACCGCACGGTTGGAAGGGAAAGCACGGACAAAAGAGTTCCAGCCTGGGCCAGGCGGGACAAGCCACGGAGAACGAGTGAGCGCAACATCAAGGAGGCCAGACGGCCCCGGGACAATATCGGCTCGCTTGCCACGGCAGGCACGCTGGTAAGCATGCTGCGCAATGGTCCACTGCAGAAGCCTCGCCAGGGAGCGAAGAGAGACACTGAACAGGGACATCCATGGACCCGAAGCAAGAGCGACCTCTGCAGGAGCCCGAAAGCGCAAGCCACACAGAGTGACCGCAGCGATCACATTGGAAACCAGTGTGGAAGGCATAATCCTGGATGGCGAACTTCTCCGAGCGCTGGAGGTGGGAGGCCACATTGAGTACGGCGCGATACGCCATGGCGTACTCAGGGTGTACCAGATGACCCCGGTGAACGACAGCAAGGAGCAACTCACGGGAACGCCAGCCAGGCCGCCCGTCCCACAAGACTCCCGCGACCTCAGTGGCTAAGGAGGACAGCAGCCCACGGGGGACGAAATTGAGTTCCGCAGAGTAGGTAAGCATAGGCATGGCCTTGCGAGCAACAAAGGTGGCTTTGGCAACACCCGGATGGCCCTGAGGGCAGCCCGGAACCGAGCAACTGCAGGAGCCCGGGCATCCTTAGTGCCGCGCAAGTCCAAGTTGATGCACACACCGAGTGGCCGCAGAGATCGCAGGCGTGGTGCACCGGGGAGGGCAGCCTGGAGCTGCGAGGCAGGCGACTCATGAGTAGTCCACCAACCAGACTTGTGGAGGTTGAAGAGCTGGCCCGAGAGGCCGTCAAAAAGGGACGTAGCCCTGACCGCCTGCACCAGGGAGGGAATGGCATCGGGCGAGGAGACCGACATGTAGCCGTCATCAACATAAACCCGGGGTCCAACCCCCGGGAAGTGCCTGATGAGAAGGGCCCAAGCCGCCATCAAGACATTCGCTGCCAGGACCGAGAGAGAACAGCCCTGAGCGATGCCATTGCAGTTGGCCAAGGGAGTAGGGTGGATGGCTCCCCGCCAGGAGAGATAGCGCCTGAAGTCGCAGTAGTTGGAACGCCAAGCATTGGCCACAGAGGCTGGGAAGCCCAAGGCCACAAGGAGAGCAACAGTGTGGCTGGGGAGCAGGCGGTCGAAACACTTGGAGCGGTCGATCTGAATGCCTGCAAAGACCTCATTGGTCGCCTTGGCCTCATGGAGATCAAGAGCAAGGTGGTGGGTAATGTCATCCACCCGGCGGCCACTGACTCCGCCACAGACTTCAGCGGGGAGCACAAGACGTTGCCACGCAGAGGAAGCACGGAACCTAGCCGAGGACCATGCAAGGTAAGAGATAGGAAGGACAGCGATGAGGCGTTTGGAGAGGGGGCTGGGGCCCGCTCCTTTGTCAAGCACCGCTGGCCGTGCCAAAGATACAAGGCATGGCCCACAAACCCGCCTCAACCTTGTTGAAAAGTGTGGCAAGGACCTGCAGCACCCGAAGGGGGAGAGCCTGGAGCTCCCGTGCGGACCACCCATCAAGGCCAGCAGAGGAGTCCACACTCCGCGCACAGATGGAGCGAGCCAGATCCTCCGGCGTGACAGCCGGGAGGTCAAGGGGTGTAGCCCGCTGCTCGAGCAGGTGTTGAATAGGCCTCATGAGAGGCTCGACCGGAATGCCATCAGCGTGGACGGCAAAGACAGTGTTCCACTGCTGGGCAGCATGCTCAAGTGCATCCGCAGGATGGTAGGCAGGCAAGCCATCCTGCCCGGCAAGGAGGTTGGGGGAGGACGTGGTTGCCGCCCTGGCGAGGTGTTGAAACACAGCCTTCCCAGTATGCAGGGCGGAATGACGGAGGCGCTCCTTCCACCTGCGGTAGGAGGCGCGCTGCCTTTGACGAGTGACTTCCTGGAGGCGGCACTCAATTCTCTCGCAGAGATGAGCAGCGCCGACAGGTGTGAGGTCCTCAGATTTCAGGGGAAATCGAAGGTCGGGCGCGCAAGCCGGCGGAACCGCCGGATGGTGGCACAGGTGACAGCCGCATCAGGCACAGTGGTGACCGGCAGACGAGCCAGGCGGTAGAAGAGCTCCCGTGCAAGAGACAGGAGACGTGTGTGAAGTGTGATGGGGTGCGAAGGGGGCAGGGCCGCCACGGGGGAGCGCTTGGGCC